CGGAGTGGTTTGGTGTGAAACGTTCTTGAGAAACTTAAAGTCAGAACTGTTCACAGTGGTGGTGATAGGAACCAGACGTCCACCTCTAAAAGCTCCCTCACAGAAAGTTCCTACATGAAATGGTTATGAATTCACTGCCTGATGACTGAGACACTGTTTTATGATAGTTTAGAGAACTTAAACTCCATTCATGGTGGAGGGATACATGCAGGACGCTGTGAGGCAAAATAGTCCCCAAAGAAAACTTATTATTTCAGGTTTTCCACTATTTTCCATCATCAACATTCCATATAGACTCAGAAGACTCGTGTAGGTTCACTGGTGGTTCTGGATAGTAAATAAAATGTCTATATCTGTGTTGTAGTCATGGCGACCCCTGGTTCCTATCACCACCACTGTAAAGACATCTGAACCATTTCACACCAAACCACTCTGAGTGACTTGGAATCTCAGTGATTGAATTATACAGACGTGTAAACATGTAAAGGGGAATTCCAGTGTTTTTGTTCCTATATTTCTGCATGTTTAACCTTTTCTAGATCACTTTACCAGCACATTCAGTCAAAGTGTTCACTTGTATTTTATCGTCCAGCATTGTGGAGATGCAGTACACCGTTAGAAAGCTTTAAATCTCAGGATTCGATTCCCTCAAACCATTTTATGATCCGTTATTCACAGCAGTGATGATCGTCTCCTTCACAAAATATGTGAGCATATGTGGAAAAAGCAGATTATCATACGCTGGAAAATGTTTTATCACATGTGGAAAAATGTAATCATATGACATCACATATGATCAGTGTGATTCGGGTCATTCTACAGAAACGTCCACTTCTCTATCTCTCCATAGGAGTCACTGGTGTTACTGATCCTCATTGGTGTTCCACATAATAAAGGAACACCAGAGACATTTTTAATGAACAATGCATTTTACAGAATGGCTGCTACAGAGCATCAAACCACAGGTCGTCAATCATGGAATATCCACTAAAATATGGAATTTAATCCATTTGTATTCTATTTTTTCACAATGACCTCAGAATAAAGTGGGTCACACCAGTGACTTCAGCTAAAAGCTTCATATGAAATCATGAGCTAAATGAGAAAATCTCTGATAACTGAAAGACACAGTGGACTCACCATGTGCTTCTCTTTATAGATCCTCAGAAAACAGGTAAAAGGAAGTCAAGTGATGTCATCAGTGTGACTTTTATTTCAAAATAAGAGATTTTTTGTTACGCAGTAACACCAGTGACACGACTCCTGGGGACAACAACTTTCATTATACATTTTATAATATTTATTTGACTTTTGTTTTCTTTGTCATTTAATTTATATATTTCATAGTCATTTATAGATTATTGTAGTTAAAATTGCAGAAAAACTGGTTTTTACCTCAAAATCTGGCCTCAGCCTTTACACACGACTGTGAGGACGAGCTCTTCTGTGGTGATTGGAATTATATATGATCCATTTAAAAACCAATATTGCTAAATTGAGGCTCAAGAAGGTGTAATTGTTAAAATCACTTACTTAAAAATATAAATAAATTGTAACCCTAACATGTTTTTCAAGTGTAATATATCTGTAAACGCTACGGACACAAAAATGGACGCTACACATGTAAAATATGTGAATTGGCAGTAAAGTTGTGGTTATTTTTTCCGCAGCTTTCTGGATAAGAGGCTTCTAACACCATCACAGGCCAACATCCTCTTCTAGCTCAGTCCTGCCCGACTCCAGTCCCACAGAGGAAACACAGAAGTGCAAAAAATCTCTCAAAACCTCTCAAATCTCTCAAAAATCAAACATTACTTCTTTATTTGACAGGCAGTATTACATTACAGTACATACCCAGAGTGTTTCCTTTCAAATGAGACCAAGATAATGACTTTAGCACATGGTATGTAGGAACTGCACCCCCTTTTACTTTGGGTGCACCATTTCAGGCTCAAATGGGGCCACAATGATCAGGTTAAACGGTTAAGATGCGAACGAAGTCATTGAGAGTGGTTTGGTGAAGGCCTGGGCGATAAGGTGATGTAATCTGACATCATCGATGGTTGATGAGTAACCCCATGACGATGGTTAAAGGGTGTTAATCTGCGTGTTGGCAAACTGACGGAGAACTGGAGAGGCCTGATGTTAGATTTACCGTTATTATTAACACGCTGGGTGATTGTGGAGCGTTTAGAAGGGGAACTCTGTCTCCGCTGCGCATTTCTCACAGTGCGGTTTTCCGTCTCAGAAGAAACTGCAGCACTTTCTGTGTGTTAGAAGTTAAGTGCATACATGGTTGACCAAATTAGCTCAGGTACAGCACCCGTAGCTGCAGAGCGTCAGAGATGAGTTCCTGTTCACACCCGCTATTAATATCAGTCTCATGTGGTCTGATCACTGGTAGACAAATGTCCATTTACTGAGGCCACCTTCATCGAGTCCAAAAAAAGTAAATAAGACAGTGACTATTTAAGTCTACAGAGACCAGAAGTTAATTTAATTTATTTATTTTTATTATTTGCTCTTTTTTATTCACAGTCAAATTTGCATTTTGTGTTTATGTTCAGGGCTCACATCATGGAAATAAAAGAGCTTGATGTACCACATTAACATTGTTAAAGGGGAACTCCACCAACTTTTCACTTAAAATTCCTGCATAATTAAACAGTGAAGATGTAAACAGAGTCGTTCGTGGTTTGGTGTGAAAAGCTCTGTTCTAGAGAAACAAATCAGATTTTTTTCCCTAATGTGACTCAGATCTGATGTTTTCAGGGTTGTGTGGACACACATCTGGTCTTTTCAAATCCAACCTGAGTCACCTTCATATGTGGTCCCAGATCGGATACGTATCCGATTTGTGGTCATACGACCTTAATGTAACGCTCAGATCTGAATTCATGTGCTTTTTTTCCACTGCGCTGCGCCATCATTCAGCGTTACCATGGCAGCAGCGCCAAACAGAAGTTAAAGCCTGTAAACGGTGGAAAAGCAGCTCATCTCACCTTTTTCTCCTTCGTCTCGCTCTAATAATGAAGCTGAGAGCTGATCAGAGTTAATGATCTTCTCAGCGAAGCTCGTTCTGCTCGTTAGTTTGTGCTGATGATGAACGTGATTTGTTCATGTGACGTTACTGAGTAGGATGAGCTCATGAGGGTCATTTCAGGACGCCGGTTCATCACATTAATGACAGATTTGAGTCACTTACCTAAACGAGCGTGAACCATCGAGTCAGAGAGATCGGATTTGACCAAAAAATCAGATTTGAACAATGAGGCTTGTAATGTGAACGTAGCTTTAGAGTCAGAACTGTTCACAGTGGTGGTGATAGGAACCAGACGTCCACCTCTAAAAGCTCCCTCACAGAAAGTTCCTACAGGAAATGGTTATGAATTCACTGCCGGATGACTGAGACACTGTTTATTAAGTAGTTTATTAAAAGTTGTTAGGCTTCACAGAGACAGAAATGGGACAACACAATATATAAAAATATTACCAATCATATTAACCAGTAATATTAACCAACATATCACAATATGATTTTGATGCCTCCCATTTAACACCCGTCTAATGAGTTTGCAGTTTGTATGCAGGCATGTTAGTGAGCTTATAGTTCACCACATTCATGGATGATTCTACTGAACTGATTCAGAGTCAGAGTCATCTTGGACTTTAGACTAAAATCCTTTCCTTTGAGTGACTCTAAACCTTAATTATGATTATGTTATTAAAACTAATGATTGAACATTCCAAAATAATCATAACTCTACCCAAACTGTACCAAATGTGTCAGTAGTGACTGTTTCAGTGACAATTTTAGCTCATTTTGAGCTCAAAAAAACTGAAAACCAGCTGTTCACACAGAAAATCATCATATTTTACATTAAAACACTAAAAAGTGCTGAACTGCAGAAAATATGGTGATTCTTAATGTTCCACACTGATTTTCAGACTTTGGGACACATTTACTTCAAAACAATGGGATCTAACTGCTCACCATGTGGCCATGAGGGACAGGGATGCAGCCTCACTTCCTGCTCTGAAAGGCGGGGGGCGTCGCTAAATTAAGGCCCACATACTAAAACTCTTTGTGTTTCGGTACTGACTTCAAAAAGTGGGACTCATGAAGAATAAATGTTTGCAACTTAAATTGAAAAAGGTATAAAGATGCACGTCCCAATAATAAGTACCTTTATAAATGATGATGTTGTAAATATTTAGCTTATTACTGTCTCACTTAATGCTTTGGGCTTAAATAGATCAGAACATAATGCTTGTAAATATCTAAGATCTGAATACTTTATTGTTTATTTATGTATTTTTTATTGTAGGGCTGCAGTTTGAACTCACCTTACAACAAAATTGTATCCTGTCAAATGACTTTTTTATCAAATCTATAATCTAAGATGTATTTTGAGATTGTTGTGGTTATTGTAAGATTATTTAACTTATTTCTAGATTTTTTTGTCTTGTTTTAAATCACTTTAAATTAAATGATCTCACTGTAAAGGCAGATAAGTTTGAAGACTGTTTCCTAAAACAAGCAAAATCAACTACCAATAAAAATTGAAAAATAATAAAGTAATAAAATTGCTTCAATTTCAGGACCATTTAATTGTGATTTTGGTTGGTCAGATTATCACTATACTGGCAGAAAGTGTTGCTTGGTTCGAGCAAAATGATCTACCCATACAGTGAGATCATTTCACCCAATAGAATCATTTAAAACAAGATAGAAATGTCTAGAAATAAGTTAAATGATCTCATAAGATTCTTACAGCATCCTCAGAATGAGGAATATTTCCTATATCGACTAGATTTAAGATCATTTCACGTGATAAGACAGTATGTTTGCAGTGTGTTCAGTAGAAAGGTCCATATAGGCTCGCTGTGTGTTTATCTGTGAATACACGGACTCGCAGGTCTAAAGACTGGTGTGTAGTTGTATCTCTGGCCGTTACTGATGCTGGTGGGCTCTGATTTTCCGTTGTCTTCTCCTGCAGGCCTTCGGAAACGCGAAAACGGCCTACAACAACAACTCCAGCCGCTTCGGGAAGTTTATCCAGGTGAACTTTTTGGAGGGTGGTGTCGTCAGAGGGTGAGTCAGCACTAAAGCTCCTGCATGTTTCAGATGAGTGAGTGACATTCCTACGAATGATTCGCTCAGAAACCGAGAGAAAGAGAACCCCTCTCACTTTTCCACAGCTTGAAGAGACAGAACAGTAAAACATTAGGAACAGCCCAAACACAGACGATCAGCCGAGACGTGTTTTAGCACTGGAGCTACGAGACTCTTAAAAACGATCTTCTTCACAGGTTCTTTAGTAAAGAAAATGGTTCTATGTAGAACCGTGAACACTTAAATATCCATTTGCATGCTAGAAGAACCCTTTTTGGTTTCATATAGAATATAGAACCCTTTTCAAAGGTTCTATATGTCATATAGAACCATTTCCTATGTGTCAAATAGAACTCTTTTCAAAAAGTTTCTATATAAAACCATCTACAGCTCATTCTCCATCAGTCTGAAGAACTCTTTCATGATGCAAAGAACCCTTTAATCATGCAAAAGGGTTCTTTGAGTGTTCATGGTTCTGTGTAGAACCATTTGCATGCTTAAATGGTTCTTTGCATTGTGAAATGGCTCTTCAGACTGGTGGAGAATGTGCTGTAGACGTTTCTAAAACGGAAAAGGGTTCTATGCAGCACCCAAAAAGGGTTCTGTTATATTTACAATGTCAAGCTTGTCACAGTAGAAGAACCCTTTTGGGTGCTATATAGAAGCCTTTTGAAAAAGGTTCCGTATACAACCATCTACACATTCTCTATCAATCTGACGAAGCCTTTCATGATGCAAAGAACCCTTTAATCATGCAAAGGGTTCTTTGTGTGTTCATGGTTATATATAGAATATATCTATTTTTGAAAAGGGTTCTATACAGCACCAAAAAGGGTTCTTCTATTGTGACTATGTCAAGCCTGTAACAATAAAAGAACCCTAACTGGTGCGATGTAGAATACTTTTCAGAACGTTTCTGTATAGAACCATCTACAGCTCATTCTCCATCAATCTGACGAAGGCTTCCGTGATGCAAAGGGTTCCGTGAGTGTTCATGGTTCTATGTAGAGCCGTGTTCTTTACTAAAGAACCCTTGAAGAACCGTCTTTAAGAGTGAAGCTGCACGTTCTTTAAATTGGTTGAGGCTCTGAGCTCTTGATTGGTGCACTGGAAAAAATGAAATGGTCTCAAATCCAGTCAACATCTCTAATATTTCTCATTTTGAGATTGTCGTAAGAATATTATAAGATCATTTAAAGGGCCCATGGTCCACATTTGCCTTGTATTTTTATCATCTATTCCCCCTGAGGTCCACTTATAACAGTGATGTGGGTTTCGGTACCAAAAACCGTCGTCATTCGTGTTTAGATGATCATTTTCCAGCCTCTCTTTAACCCTTAGAGTTAAACTGTTTTTGTAACTGTGACTTTAGGACTCACACATGTAAATGAGCTCTGCTCTGATTGGCTTCCCTGTATTGTGTTTCATTCAAAAAGCATCTTTCATTCTAAAAACACTCCTTGCAACGTCAGTGTGAAACTGCTCTAGGCTGAATTGGCGGATGTACATAAATGTTTTTGTTTTTTTTTGTGACATCACAAAAACAATGAATTCAAAACAGGATGTTTCTGCAGTTTAGTTTACACACAGTATTAGTCTCTTATTTTAAAAAAGAAAATGTGTTTTTCCATGATAGAAGCTTATTTCCAGACCCTTTTTCCTTGTTTTAGTAATGTAAAGTGAAATTATCTCACTGTACTGGCAGATATTTCTACTTTTAATAGTAATAATCACAAATTACAGCTATTTCTAAAATATCTTTATATTTTGGGATAGGTTATTTAGCGCCAGTATGTACAGTATATCTAATTTATATTTTAATGGGGGTCCTAGGCAGCTGTGCAACGATAACCCCCCCCCCTCCCTCACCGCTAACAAGTAATGGAAACTTAAACCCCACCAATTAGCATGTTGCCAACTGCACGCCTAAATTATCACACACTCACCTCAGGCCACGTGGAGCTGGAGCCTTCTATGGCCTTTTTTCCCTTCAAAGGAGAATTTCACCAAATTTTCCAAATTTCTGCTTAATTGAGTGTTTGAGGTGTAAACAGAGTCACTCAGATTGGTTTGGTGTGGAACCTTAAATAAAACAGGCTGTTTTCATGTCTATAAGATGGATATATGTAAATGAGCTCTGTTCTGATTGGCTGTCTTTATTAAAAAAAAGCATTCATAGCTGCAACACTCAATAGAACTTCAATATGAGTAGGCGGGGCTAAACCGCCTGGATAGATGTCAATGAGTTGGTCCTTGTGACATCAGAGTAACAGTGAATGTAAAACAGGCTACATATTTGCATATTAAAAATAGTTTTTGTGTGATATCAGCCCTTTAGCGTCTGTTTTGACCAGAAATAAATGAAACCATACTTTTGTACAGCG